ACCTATGGCACACTCTGCCAGCGGTGAGACAGGCAGACATTTACTAGACACTCAGCCAATGGCCAAGCACAACCTATGATAGAGGGGATGAAGTCTTCGTTAATCCCCCAGGTCATCCACAATGCCAACTCTCTCCAATGGCCAAGCACATGCCTCGCTACAATCCTCTCTGAAAAACCCCTCCACCACTTAGCACCCCATCCCTTGAAGGAGTCCTTAGCATGGGGATCTCACAACTCTCACCTAAGGATTGGTCTCACTACTCTCTTGAAGGGGCTTAGCACTCAATCTCCCCCTTCCGAGGAGCACCAAGCACATTGGACATTAATAACTTAATCCATTGCAAACCAGTCCAGCCCTTTAAAACTTGGCTCCCATTGTATGAGATCTCATTCCTGGCTTCCCACTCTCTAATGAAGACTGGTGTCTTACCTAATAGCCTGCAATTTTCCCCTGTTGATTTTCTATACCATGAAAATATGTCCATTAAGGGTATCACAGATCTACCATCCCCCTTATATGAAATAAAAAGGAATACAAATGAAGAGTAAGCAAAGGAAAACAAAAACAAACAAACAAACAAACAAAAACAAAAACAAAAACAAAAACAAAAATCAAAACAAAAAAAAAAAAAAGAAAAAAAAAAAACAAAACAAAACAAAAAAAGTAGATAAAAAGATAAGGCCAACACTTCAAACAGAACCATGACCCATAGATAGCAGCATAAAAAATATAATACCAGCACATCAAACAAACCATAGCATCACACATGCACACACCAAAGGACATTTCACACTGTAAGATAACACCATGAAAAGTTCAAACTAAAAATGTATTTTATTGTGGGTGTGTTTGGTTGGTGGGTTTTGCCCATAGGAATGGGTATGAAAGTGATTGTTGTTGTTTGGTTGATAGGATTTTAGAACACTACTATGGGTTTCGAATACCCCATCAATTGAAAAACCCATACCCAAATAAAATAAGGGTTGCATTCCCTTATTCATTCTCAAGCACTACTATTAGTAGCCATTCCAATTCCACCCTACTACCAAACATGTTAAATACTTTCACCAAAACCCATTACCATTACTAAGTATTTGATACCCATTCCGATTCCGATTCCTATGTGCGAACCAAACACACCCTGTGAATAACAAAGTTAAGGGAAAATAGCTTGGGATAACCATAATATTGCATGCACATAACATTCATGTGATATTACAGCATGCAGAATCAGTTCTATAAGAAATTAACTTACTCACCAGCCATGATGTTTCATTTTGAAAGACAGGCTTAATATCCAAATTCTCCGGCCTGACAAACTGTTGAATCAAAGCAATCTTCTCATAAAGTTGGTCATCAACTTTTACATCTTCAGGATGTGAAGCAAAAACATGGGAAAACAGCTTTGTCATGACATATTTCTCCAGTCCCTGTGTTTCAAAAGAGCGTAAATATCATAACACAAAAGTAAATTGTTTATGAAATGATGATGGTGACTTTCGTTTAACCGAATACACTAGGCAAGAATAAAAAAGAGTTAACAGAAAAATAATAGGAGGGGGGCATTTCCAATGTATTTTGAGGATTAATTTGGAGTGGAAGAAACACACATTTTCTGGGGCTCCCACCCCTGTGCATATGTTAAAATACACTTGCTAGAGAGTACTTCTGTTTTGGTGTAAAGGGGAGAATAGTACTGGTATAGAAGAGAATTTGGATTTCCAAAGTTTAGGCAAAGTTGATTTTTTGTGTAGTTTTGTTTTAACACACCTGCTTGACATTCCCCTTGTAAATAAATTAATTTTATTTCTCAAAATAAAAAATAATTTTTTTTAAAAAAAAAAGGGAAATAAAGACAGAAAGAACATTTCAGAAAAGAAGATATAATTCTATTATCATATTGCCAGACAAAGGCTCTAAGTCGCATCTCAACATTTATTATTCTCAGGCATCTTACTAATGAATAGAGGAAAGAAACTCTTTATAAATACCATGGATGTGACAAACAAATGAAATAGCATCATAGAACTGAGAGATATACAACTTGTGGTTGAGATCAGTGAAAAATATAATCTTTAGGGGCAATGAAAAATTGGGAGATGCCTGCCACCTTGCCTTCCCAAGACTTTATTTCTTCAATTAAATGCTCCATATTTAGCCAGCATAGGCAGATACAACAAACAATAAAGTCTGAAGGACTAATGATTACCTATAATGTTTTTCCCCTTCTTGGACCCTTTTGCCTTTTGGAGGTGGTCTGGTATGTATGCTAATTCTAAGAAAACGAAACCTCAATTCCAATCAAGTGAAGCTTTAAAGCTTTTCCTATTGAATTTCTCACTGCTATTTCCAGCCACTTGTATGTGTCTTAATCACTCTAGGTAGTACTTATTAGCACTACTTACATCAACTGAATCATCTGAGTTTGAGTCTAGGGAATCTGGTAAAGCATTTCTTCTCAAGCTTTTTTCATCATTCAAATTGAGATAAGATATAGCCCATGCATTTGTTATAAGCTAATTCATTATCTGTGTATTTGTTATAAGGAAAATTCCCTACATGAATAGTGTCATTCACATACTAGACCAGTGCCAGTCACACATAGGAAATTTTCCCTACACATGCAATACATGATGCTACCATGTACGATCAGTACCTTAGAGTTTTCCATGTAACATGAAATATATACAATGAACAAAAAATTTGCATTTATTTAATTTTTTCTCATTGCTCTTTTATCAAGTAAAAGTCGCCAATTAATTATTTTGTTGACAACAATTTTTTTGGCAATTAACTAGATATTCATCTTTCTAATTAACTGGATATTCCCAAATTTGAGGACACAAACCAGGAACACGAATTAAAAAACCAATATTAATCTTTTTAATTTTAGAACTAATCCTTTGAACTGGCAAATGTACGCCTTAAAAGTGTAAATATATAGTAAAAGCACACAATAAATTATTAATTGATTAAGTAGTAAAAGTGTAAAACTAAAACATATACCTCTAATTTGGAGATCTTTTGAGTTAAAATTGAATATTTGATGATGTTAATTAGTGAAATTTTGACAAAGGAAATAAGCCAATAAAAAATGGTGGATTTGGGATTTAAATGTTTTGGACTCGTATAAACTTTGAAGAACTCCTTATTAAGTCAAACAGTGCAACTATCCAAGTTAAGAAATGTAACAAAACCTTATAACTGCTGCAGGAGATCATGAACCTTCAATTTTGGTTTGTGGCCAAAAACAATAACATTTGAAACACAATCTATGCAGTGGTAAAGGAGTTAAAAGAATGGAAAGGATATACTCACGTCACCCACACAAGTAAAAAGAATAGAAAGAATGTACTCACTTCACCCGCACTCTCTAACACCTCCTCAGAACAACCAGCACACAGTGAATGAGCTCCCACACAAGTAAAAAGAATAGAAAGAATGTACTCACTTCACCCGCACTCTCTAACTCCTCCTCAGAACAACCAGCCCACAGTGAATGAGCTCGAAAAGCAGCTTCCATGTTGCCAAGGAACTCCTGCACAGCTTTACTATCCCTTTCTGGATCAGGAGCATTGTTTGAAAATGATACTATGAAACTGCAAAAGTTCCAACCAATTTACTTATCCACCACTCAACAAGGGTCAATGTATGATAAACTACATATATGCATATCTATAAGGGCACACAGACTAATATATGTTCACGCAAATGTATACCTTAAAGAAAAGGAAAATCCCTATAACAGATGAAAACTAGTCTAGAAACTTCTCTGGCCAGAGAAATAGTCTGGCTTTAATGGACAAGGAGTCTTTTCAAAACACATACCACAAAAGAAAAGGAAAGATTAGTGGCTTAATGCCATCTTATTTATCTGGTCATAAGAATTTGATAATCCTCAATACTATGCATCTTTTTTTGTGTTAGATTCAAGTATTCAACAAGTTACATACATCAAGATAGGTTAATGATAGTCCCTGCCTGTATCTCTGACCATCAGAAAGTGATGAACTACAAATAATCCTCAATAAGTTATTATGTGTTTTCTCATTACTTGGATAGTTGTGTCAGACTCAGAGAATACGGAAAAGTACATATCTTTCATTAAATTGAAACTGCCAGCATGATTCTCACTAATATTTATCAAAAATTCTAAGAAATATCCATCCCCTCTGAAGCTTTATTCATTCCCTCTTGTTAATAATGTTCATAAATTAATTTAAGGGAACACTACGGTATGCCTGATTCATAGTGCATCAATTGGCATCCAGTGTTACATATGAAGAGTCCTTTCCATCGCCAACAATGCTAGTAAAATAGTCTAGCTCCTTAAGGGCAGCATGAAATAAATCTTTAGACTAAAATGTTAATAAGCGTCACTGTGAATTGTTCTTTCCCCCAGAATGCATGAGAGCCATCGTCTAAAATTAGTCTACCATATTTAACACTTGCCATAAAAGTGACATAAAACACAACTGAAGGAACCTGTATCCGAAACATCGTAGTACCTTTTGATGGCTTTGACAAAATCGGCAGCGGAAGGCTGGCGCATGCGCTCGAGGAAGTCGTGCCAAGTCAGAGGCGCCGTCGACGATCCAAATACGTCGGCGTTCTCCATTGCTAGTCGGAGTCCGACCAGATCGACGGCTAAGATTCCGTCGATGCTACAGTCTCAGGAGAGAGAAATAGTGAAATGAACGAGGCCAGACATTGAAGGCATCCTGCGGAGTCCTTTTACAAATAAACTATAGTTTTTTCTGAAAACAAACTATAGTTAATTACTTAATTTACCTAAAATAATTCATAATTATGCCATTGGAAATTAAAAAAAAAAAAAAAAAAAACCACAATGGAGAATCTATTAGCTAAAGCAATGGAAATTATTATCCAGTCAATTCTCTCTTCCTGAGAACTAGAGCTTTCTCTCGTACCCCCCTGAGATCTAGGGTTCTGTCGGTTTTCTTGCGTATGATCGGGCGATCATCGGCAATTTGGCTATGGATGTGCGTGAAATCATTGCATCTATTGCGGAGATACGTCTGGAAGATGAAGAACAGGGTGTGCGTTTTGACGACGAGGGATATGGTATCGCGATGCAACTGCCGGAACGTCGCACATGGACGTTGGTTGGCCGGTTCCTTACGGACCGAAACATGAAAGTGGAGATGATGAAGCGAGTCATGGCCTCGGCATGGCGGCCACTCATGGGAATTGAGATAACGGACGTTACCCCGAACTTATATCTCTTTACATTCTTTGATGAGGCAGACATGCGCCGGGTGTTGGAGGAGGGTCCTTGGGCGTTTGAGAACGCGACGTTTCTTTGCCAGGTTTTGAATGACGGGGAAGATCCGACGCAAGTAGTGTTGAACACTGTGGACTTCTGGCTGCAGGTTTATGATATTCCATTGGGATACCAGACTGTAAAGGTGCTTGAGCGGATTGGGGATTTCGCGGGGGTGTTTTTACGTTATGATGAACGTAATTTTGAGAGACCGTGGACCTCGTTCTACCGGGTACGTATAACACATGATGTATCTGTCCCTTTGAAACGTCGTATGAAGATGATCATGCGGGATGGGACGTGGGTCTGGATAAATTTCAAGTACGAGCGTTTGCATATGTTCTGCTTTTTTTGTGGTGTAATGGGGCATACTGATAAATTCGGTTTAGCTGCTCGTCGTTCGTTATTGACACCGGATCAATATCTGTTTGGTGCGGCTATGAGAGCGGGTGGTAATAATCCGGCCAAGATATTGGGTGATAAGTGGTTTAAGATAGGGCAGGAGAGAAGGAAAGAAATCGGGTTTGGTGTTGGTGGCTACGGACACAATGTTGCGGCAGCAGGTAGGCCGGCTATATCCGAAACAAGGGGTCGGGTGGCGGTGGGTAGAGCTGCAGGGGAGGGTGGTGACGGTCAGTTGGGGTTGGCGAGGGAGAATGGGGTAGTTGGGGAGGAAGAGGGAGTAAGGGTGGATCCAAAGAGACGTAGAATGGATGGGGAGATTGGTGGTGGAGTGGAAGTAGGGGTGGACATTGAGCCGGAAAGCTTATGTTTGGCGGATTCTGAGAATGGGGGTGGTAGGGGGTACCGGGTGAGGGAGGGAGTGGTGATGGAGGAGGATATAGCAATGACAGATGTTCAAAAAAACTTGCAGATGGCGGGTGCTGCGGTGTAGACCCGCCCGACCCAATGAATACTTTGAGCTGGAACTGCCGTGGCTTGGGTAATCCACGGACAGTTCGGGAAATTGAGGACATAGTGTCCCGCAAGAAATCCGATTTTGTATTTCTGATGGAAACTTAGGTTAACCGAGATCATGCAGAGCGACTTCGGATTAAGCTTGGTTTCGAAGGCCTTTTTAATGTGGATAACACTGGATTGAGTGGAGGACTGGCATTGTTATGGAGAACGAATGATACTGCAAGAATAATTGGTTATTCTAATAATCACATAGATGTTGAGGTGAGTTTGCCAGGTTTTGATAAGTGGAGGATGACTGGTTTCTATGGCTTCCCGAAGCGTCCGCAGAGAAGGGAGTCGTGGGACCTTATTCGGTCATTGGCAAGTAGATCGGATCTGCCATGGGTAATCATTGGAGATTTTAATGATCTTTTATATCAGTATGAGAAACGAGGAAGAAATCTCCATCCAGACAGCTTGCTACGGGGTTTTGGAGAAACTATTGAGGAGTGTGGTTTGACACAATTACCAATGTCTGGATATCCCTATACTTGGGAGAAGGGAAAAGGCACGCCAAACTGGATAGAGGAACGATTGGATAAGGTTTTGGCTACTCAAACCTGGAGAGAGTTGGTAGCTGATGCAAATGTGCAGAATATATTAACCCGGAAATCAGATCATTCTTTCCTTTTCCTTGGGATTCTCAATCTTCGGGGAAGGAAGGGTGTTCTGAGAAGGGGTTTTCGTTTTGAGATGGCATGGCTACATGATAAGGGGTGTAGGGAAGTGGTGGAAAGTCCTGGGGCGAAGAAAGAAGTAGGGGGTTGCAGGAGTGTGTCACTCTATGTGGTGATCGGTTAACACGCTGGGGTGGAGACCGATTCCATAAATTTGGTGAGAAAATATTGAACTTGCGTAAGGAACAGTTGCGCCTCAGGGGGTGTACGGATCCGGTATCCCTAGCCGAGTTTCGGAGACTAGATGAATGTTTGGCTCGTATTGAATTACAGGAGGATACGTACTGGAGACAGAGGGCCAAACAACATTGGCTCAAGGATGCAGATGCAAACACCAGGTTTTACCACAGGTATGCTTCTCATCGAAAGAAAAAGAATGCTATTACTAAAGTTATGAATAATGATGGGGATTGGATTGAGGGGGATGCCATGAGGAATGTAATCTTGGATTATTATCGTGGTATTTTTAACTCGAGTTCTCCTACTGTTAATGATGATTTCTTTGGGAGTATACAATCACGTGTAACAGGCACACAGAATGAGAGTTTATTGCGCCCATTTGAAGAGAGTGAGGTTAAATCTGCATTGTTTTCAATGTATCCTGATAAAGCACCAGGCCCGGATGGTATGAACCCTGGGTTTTATCAGCACTTTTGGGATGTAGTGGGTACTGATGTTTCTTCTTATATTTTGAATTGTCTGAATACTTGCTCAATGCCTGATAAATTGAATGAAACAAACATTATTTTGATCCCCAAAAAGAAAACCCCGGAAATGGTTTCTGATTATAGGCCAATTGCTTTGAGTAATGTCGTTTACAGAGTTATGGCGAAGATGATTACAGCCAGGATGAAACCACTAATGGAGAATATTATATCTGAGTCCCAGAGTGCATTTATATCTGGAAGGCTAATTACAGATAATATCTTGATAGCTGCGGAAGTTGGCCATTATTTGAACAGGAAGCAATGTGGACTAACAGGTTGGGGGGCTTTAAAGCTGGATATGGCTAAGGCTTACGACCATATGGAATGGTCTTTTTTGCAAAGGATGCTAAGGGCACTGGGATTTGATGAAAGATGGATAGAGTTATTAATGATGTGTGTAACCACTGTGTCTTACAGTGTACTGGTAAATGGTTCAAGGACTGATCAAATAATCCCGACTCGTGGTTTAAGGCAAGGTGATCCCCTGTCACCTTATTTGTTCATTATTTGTGCTGAAGGGCTTTCAATATTATTAAAACAGGCACAGGCAAAGGGAGAGATACATGGCTATAGAGTGACTAGAGGAACTCCCTCCATTACCAACTTATTCTTTGCTGATGATAGTCTGCTTTTTTTCAAAGCAAATATTCAAGAGGCGGGTGTGGTTAAACGTTGTTTGTCGGAATATGAAAAGATGTCTGGCCAGGCAGTTAACTATCACAAATCGAATATTTATTATAGTAAAAATACACGAGGTGAAATAAGGGATGAGATTGCCGATATATTGGGAGTTGTGCAGGCGCAGAATTTTGAAAAGTATTTGGGGCTTCCATCATTTGTGGGCAGGAATAGAAAAGTGGCGTTCTCTTATATTGAAGATAAGATAAGGCAGAGGATTAACTCGTGGAATAAGAAATTTTTGTCACAGGCAGGAAAAGAAGTTTTATTGAAAAGTGTGGCTCAATCTATGCCTACCTTTTCGATGAGCGTTTTTCTACTCCCTACGACTCTGTGCACTGCCATTGAGCGAACCATGAATCAATATTGGTGGAGATCGAGAGATGACCAGGGTATTCATTGGAAAGCTTGGGATAAACTATGTATCCCAAAAGAATATGGAGGATTGGGATTCAAAGAGTTGTGAGCCTTTAACCTTGCAATGTTGGGCAAGCAAGCGGGGCGCTTTCTGACACAGCCACAATCATTGGTTTCAAGAGTTTATAAAGCCAGGTACTATCCCACTAATTCTTCCTATGAAGCATGCTTGGGAAATAACCCAAGTTTTTGTTGGCGAAGTATTATGGCGGCACAAGATTTGATTTGTGGAAGGGTTAGGCGCATGATTGGGGATGGCAAACCAACTTTGATTTGGGACCATCCATGGTTGCAAGATGTGAGTCAGCCGAAAATATTAACAGAAAAACCACCCCAATTGGCACAGGCAAAGGTGATGGGACTGATGGATCAACAGACAGGAACCTGGGATCAGGATATTCTAACTGATATTTTTGACCCTGAGGATGTAGAGCGAATTTTAAAAATACCTGTGTCACCAGATTATGAGGATTTGTGGTATTGGTATGGGGACCCAAAAGGAGAATATTCGGTTAAAAGTGGCTATAGAACAATAGTAGGTAACTACACCCAAGCGGTTGGGACCTTTGATAAATGGAAAATATTATGGAAGCTTAAAGCCCCCCAAAGTGGAAAACATTTTTGTGGAGAGCACTAAATGATATTTTGCCCACTACAAAGAACCTACTTATAAAGAGAGTTGATATTGATCCAACATGTGCCATGTGTGGGATTGGGCATGAAGATATTGTGCATTCTTTGATCACATGTGATTATTCAACAAACATTTGGGCACAATCCTACCTTCCAATCCCCAATAGTGTCACAAATATTCTCAGTCATTGGTTTAATGATTTGATGAATATTTTAGATAATGATGGAATTATTTATGCAGTGGCACTCTTATATTATATTTGGCGTGCAAGGAATGGGGCTGTATGGGATGCGACCTTGCCCAGACCTCGGAAGATAATTGCAATGGCATCATCAGCTGTGAACGCTTGGAAAGTAGCCCATCCCGGTCTGCGTCCGCCGGCCACCTCCGCGGCATCAAGCAATACTATTGGTGTGCCGACTACACCACAGCTGCCAACGCCGAACATGGTACACCAAGCCACGCAAAACATGAGGGATCAATGTTACTTCGATGCGGCGTACGACGCACAAACAAACAAAGCAGCGGTGGGAGCCATTATTCTAAATTGGCAAGGACATTATGTTTCGGCTATGACTGCCCCTATGATAGACTGTTTTTCGCCCCTAATGGCGGAGGCCTTTGCATGCAAGGAAGTTTTGTCGTGGCTAAGAAGTCGCGAAATAAAGTCTATCGAGCTCTTCACGGATTGTTTGGTGCTTCAACAATATTTATCATCTATGACACACTCGTCAAGATCGTACTTGGGTTATGCCATTGATAGTTGCAGGACTAGTATATTATCTTTTGATTGTTGTTTACTTCATTATGTTCCTAGACTAGATAATTATTTAGCTCATACTCTAGCATCTACTGCAATTACTCAGTCAACTAGTATGTACTCGGACTATGATCCACCAGCATCTATTTCTGCATATTTTGAATAAATGCCGTACAGGCTCCTTTCAAAAAAAAAATGCCATAATTGAAAAATATTAATTTCATCAAATTAAATCCTCTATTTTATTTTATTTTTTAGTATTATTAACTCTGTTACAATGCAGTATTTGTTCATAACTATTTTCTCAACTCACTGAAACACAAAGAGTCAATAATGTCTCCACTAAAAATAGGCTTCCATCACTCATCTTATGAAATCAGCATGTAAAATAAGCATAATGTGTAATTTTGTGGGGCTCCCATTCACCGTCGGTAGTTATATCAAGGACCGCGGTGCACGCGTAAAAAACGGCGTCGTTTCTTTAAGTAAAGAAACGACGTGTCGTTACTGTTAACAGAATATGTATTTTTTGTGTATTAATTATCAACTGAAACTACGGTGTATCTAAACTGATACTGACTCACGTGTTATTTTTATTTTATCAAGTGAAAGTATAATTGAAATGAAATGAAACTGTAATTGTATTGAAAAGAAAATGCAGTGTATACAAAATGAAACTGAATAACAATTTCACATATTTGAGTGTATATTACCCAGCGAAAGTGTAGTTATAGCAAAATGATATTGTAGTTGTGTTGAAATAAAACTACCGTGTATATAAAATGAAATTGGATAACACTTCACATATTCGAGTGTATATTGTGCAATGAAGCTGTAGTTATATCGAAATGGTCATGTAGTTGTATTTTAATGAAACTATAGTGTATATAAAATAAAATTAAATAACATTTTCACATATTTGAGTGTATAAATATCGAATGAAACCGTAGTTAATCAAAATGAAATTGTAGTTATGTTGAACTGAAACTGCAGTGTATACAAAATGAAACAGAGTTACTTTTTACAGAACATCACGGAACGATAGAACACAAGTGACGTTTCTTTCATTAAACAAAACGACATCGTTTTGAAGCTCAATGCATAATCGATTATGCACCGCAGTGCACGATATAATTTACCTTTCGCCGTTTAGCAAATATTAAAATTGTCAAAACAAACCAGTACAGCCTATATAGAAGCGAGGTTGAGTGGAAACGAGTAGAGCCCAACTTAACCCCTTTTTAAAAATGGGTCAGAAATTGAAATCCAACTCATTTAGTAATGGGTTAGCGTGCTAAACGGGTCAGCTCCCATAATATCAATATTAATATTATAATAATAATTTTTTTTTAAAAAAAATTAATTTTAAATTTGTTATCTTAGGATATTGCTACTACCAATTGTTACAAATTAATACTTTTTTTGTCTCATTTTATGTATACATATTTTTTTAATGCTACTAACTATATTGCAATGTAATATCTGTTCATAACTATTTCTACTTTCTCAACCTACTGAAACACAAAGAGCCAATAACATCTCCACTAAAGCTCAAACTCACAACCTCCCATATTTGGCTAGTATTATTATATAAAATTTATATATTTAAAAATTACATTAAAAATACTATTAAATACAGAAGATTAAATTTAAAAATCATTAAAAAGTACAAAGTACTAAAGAAAATAAATAAAGAAAAAAGAATTAGTTTAACCAATGAATAACAAACAAAACATATAAAATTGGACAGAGCCACATAGGTCAGGGGAGTATAAAATAAAGCCATTAGAAATTTGAATACAATATATTAATAATTCTAAAAAAAATCACGTGTTTTTTGGATCACCATTAACAAATCAAGTAATTTACTAAATATTAATTACAATTTGACACATATACTAATCCATGAGAACCAATATGATCATTAAATAAATAAATAATATATATATATATATATATATATATATATATATATATATATATATATATATATATATATATATACATATATATATATGAGATTAATTGGGAAAATTAAAATCGCATGTGTGCATATGAAACATTATTATTATTATTACTTATTACTTATCGGTTGAATACATCGAGGAGGAGAGTCAACCCAAATACAAAGATCAATGTTCGAATGAGAAGCTTGATATGCCTGAGACTTAGACAATATTCTATGACTATCCCTAACAACAAAATTAGTATATGATTGATCCGAGGGAAGGTCGTTAAAAAGCCAACACACTTGTTGACAATCTAACTAGATACAGACTTTGTGCCAACTCTCATCCTTCAACCAAGATAGTGCTTCTTTAACTGCGAGAGCTCTATCAAGATGTAGATCCTTCACTGGTCTTAAAGGTCCAAAGATAGCAACTAGAAAATCACTTGCGTGAGAGACAATCATTACTCCAAATATAGCAAAGTTGGCCAAGATGAAGCATCAACGTTGCAGATAACCCAACTAGGGTCAAACTGAAACGACTCACACGCTGCTTGGGTTGTTGTGGATAGACTGTTTGCCTTGTGTAGATCAAACCAGAGCGACTCTCAAGCTCCTTTAGAGTATATACTAGTCATAATTCACGAGTCATTACTCCTTTAGAGTATATACCAATCATAATTCACAAGTCATTACTCCTCTAGAGTATATACTAGTCATAATCCGCGCATTTCATGATTAAATTAATACTTAACAACTAACTACCGTGTAGTGTAATAACACTTCTATTACCATTCCAAATGGTGACCATAGGATTGAGTCTCGATAGGCGGGAACATTGATTCTTTGAGCTAAAAAAAATTGAGAAAGTATAAAACAGATATTACATTGTAAAGAATCACGAGTGTTTTAAAAAAATTAATGCTCAACAAGAAAAATAAAATAAGTAAATGGTTAATATAATATTTAAATAAAATAAAAATGATTGTTTTCTCATCAATATAATAAAATTAAGTATTTTCAATTTTTAATTAAAAAGTTATGCAATAAAGTTATAATGTACAAATTCATATATGAATATATATATATATTATATATTACAATAACAATTACAATGAACAAATAAATGAATACATTTCAAAACAATTACCAATAACCTATTATTACACTACAATGCACCTAAATAAACAAAATTTAAATACCCTCCCCATACAAATCCTTAAATAAATAACTAAATACTCTGTAAACCCCACTTAGGATGGCTCTCGGTGAAACTTAGTCCCTAATTTATATGTTATAGCAGACTCAGTTTTGCCTAACTTGACAACACATTCATTGGCGAGCAACTCCAATTTAGAATTGTAGGTTGGATACATCAGTGTATCTTGAACATTTTTTCACCTTGCAATGGTAAACCAAAATACCACTAAATAGATAAATTAGGCAATGCAACGATATCCGAAGGAAGAACTCCCAACATCCTTTGGAGAGTGATTGCGAAGACAGTATTATCAATGCATGAGACAATACAATTGTATGAACAGATGACCAAACTAAGTTTTGTTTAGTTGTTAATGAGATAGTCCGTGTGATGGTTTATCATTTGTTGAGATCATAAGGGAGCAATCTCTAACTGACGTGGGCAATGACACTAACCCTCTACTCTACCATTTGAGCTAAGGTAAGTACAAAGGGTAACGGCATCGGTTAGATATGTTGGGTCCGGACTGACATTTTGTTGCATTTGTGACATAAAAATACCCCTTACCCACGAAAAAGGCAAATGGGTCAGCAAGATCCCAAGGGATGTTCTGTTTGGTGTGTGGATGTCTTGATTTTACGGCAAAGGACACCCACATTTCACAAGTCTTATGCCGATGCTCTGCCGCTTAACGAAATGAATGGGCATTTCATATTTTCATTTCTACAGATAATTCTAGTCATACAAACTCCGCCTGAAAGGATTAATGTCATTATAGATTCCATCACAACTACCCATTTCAGTTTTTTTTTTTTTTTTTTTTGGGTCTAGTAACAAATATAATGCACCACATTGTTTCATCATCAAAATTTTCAAACTTTGTTACCCCAATTCTTTTCAGATGTTCAGAATTGTAGGAATTAATTATATTAAGAAGCCTCCTTTCCAAACCCATTATACATGTACCAAAGCTGACTAGTGAGTGGCAGGAGATATCCTTGACAGGGCACAAAACAAGGTAAATAAGAAATGAGAAAAGGGATACATACCAGAAAAGCTTCAAATATGTCCCAACTAGAAGTTTGTGCACTACTTCATCGCTCCCTGCGTCAATAATAATTGGTATTGGTAAGATCTCTCCGATATAATGCAAAAGAATTATGGACCAATTAGTTATACTCAAATGCGTTTTTGCAATTGTTAAACAATTATGGATCATTGTCTAGATGAAAGACTTACAGCAAACATATTTATGGAAAAGGGGTTATAAATCTTCCTTTGAAAATAAATAACCCAGACCTTTTTATCACTTCCCTCTCAGTGAATCCAAATCAATTGAACTTATTATAGCACCCTAATATTTAGGCTCAGAACCACCCCATACTTCATATCAAGATAAATGAGGATAATCTCATACACATAAATACCTAGAGTTGATGGCTCAACTTGGCCTCATATAATAGAAACAAACAAAAAAGGACTGGATTAATCATGGTTTCAAGGGTTGACAATAAATTTATATAGCATCCCTATTTCATTTTGAAATAGGACAATGAGAATATTGTATGGTATAATTATAATAACTAAAGAATGAAGGCATAATGCAAGTCTGTACAAGATAAAATTTCCAAAAAAAAAAAAAAAAAAAAAGAGCCTCAAAAATGAAAAAAAAGAGCACCCGACTTTCAGGTCTTAAGAGGGGAAAACTCATCTGCAACTGAGATATCTACAACCATTTGCAAAGGCAACAGGTATTCATCATCCTTTACATGGAAAAATGCCGAATCAAAAAAATACTACACATCAGGTCACCGAGCATTGTTTACAAATAACCTGAAAACAACAGCAAAGTGGCATCAGAATTTTGAACACTACATAGGTCGAGCAGTACCACTTCATTGTTGATAGCAGTACCAACTGCATGTAAAATCTCATTTTGACCAAAGATTATTTAGCATGGCATAAAAATAATTACATTAATTCAACTCAACTGAGTACTGCTCTCACAATATAGCTAATACCTGCATAGATGCTATTTACCAATAACCAAATCTAGCCACAGGTCAGCCAACATCGATGCTAATTTTCTCTTTAATGTCATTAAGCAATAACTTTGTTGTGAACTATTATAGGTTTTAGCACAAATATCTTTCTCACTGATTTCAAGTAAATTTTAGATTACCTCATTGCCCGTCTGCCAATTCATCTCATATATCCTATTTAATTCCGCGCTATTAGTTCATAAACTATAGGTGTTACCGTGTGCTTAGATTGAATAAAGAATATAAAGCAATAAGAAAATATATTTCTTCTTTTCTGTTGTTAAGCTTATTTAAACTCTCTAGGAAGAAATTTCACATTTAAGTTAATTTCTGTACTATTATCTATTTCAAGATCCCCTTACAAATTAACAAATAAAGGTTCCGATGTGTGGAGGTGCAAAAAAGGATCATACTAGGTTGAATATATTTGTTGAGCATGAGGAACCAGTTGAAAATAAACTGAGATTAAGATGGTTTGGTCATATTGAGAATGTACTATTCAGCCTTGTCATGTTCTCTCACCAGTTAGCATAAACTGCTTTCGAGTTTGAAATAGTTTTGCTCCAGGATTACCTTAACTGTGAGAATCTTAGATGCTTCCCTTTGAATATGATTTTGTTTGAACTTGTTTCTTCTCAACTAGCTTCTCTTAAGAAAACAGTAACCTTGGTGCCCCCCACTCCCACCCACTACCCCTTTTCTGCTTTTCTTTGACTTCTTATTGAGGGTTCAATGCAATCAAACACCAAAACATATATCAATCTCACAATACGAAGGACAAAGTGCAATCATGTTCTTCGTATTAACATCATAATATTGTAACTCCATCATTTGAGTTCCAATGCAAAAGAAGAGGGAAAAGCACTCACCCAAAATCCTTAGTTCAATGAACCACGACACCTGTAAATATAAAGTAGAGAATTCAGGATAATCAATTTAATAAACAAATACGAAGGACAAAGTGCAATCATGTTCTTCAATTAACATCATAATATTGTAACTCATCATTTGAGTTCCAATGCAAAAGAAGAGGGAAAAGCACTCACCCAAAATCCTTAGTTCAATGAACCACGACACCTGTAAATATAAAATAGAGAATTCAGGATAATCAATTTAATAAACAAAGACTCACATGCACAACTAAAAACACAAAAATTCTTTTTGGACAGTAAGCCTTCATAAATATGGTGAAGATTCTGAAAAATGCTTAGAAACAAGTGACATGTACTGCAGAAAAAAAAAAATGAAATCTCAAATTCAAAAGGAAAAGACAGAGGGGGAAAATATAATATGGTATAGCTTGCCAGAAGCTAGATGGCAAAACATTTAGGAATACTGCTACCAAATCCTATGCTGTGGGCATTACCTCAATCAGATACAGTATACAACAAATAAAATATGAAATGCAAACAAACAAAATTCTAGACACTCAACATCGTATACACAAATACAAAAAACATATCCTAGTCATTACATTAAGTATCAAAATGCAATGAACAGCCACCTGTATTGTCCAGAATTAATCACAAAGATCACAGCTGATACTGAGAGAGAAACAACTCAGGTACTGCTAGAAAACTGACAGTTGCAATTTCATTACCTCTTAGAACCACAGTTGCAAGGGATCTTTTTCTCCTCCAAAGGGAATTTGTAATTGTACGTAATTTCTTCACCAGCAGCAATATGCCGCTTTGCATAAATAAAGATCTTTTTCTGACCCTCAACACTAATGACCTTCGTGTAGCAGTTAGGCTGCAAAGCACCCATTGCAAATGAGAATGATGTCACTTTTAGAGTAAAACAATGCAATGCCCTTGCTTATTCACAAAACTTTGTAATTTCTAGTAGATTAATCACCTCACAAGAATGATTAATAAATCTAGCAACCCCCCCACGCTTTGTTGCATCAACCTGCAAGGAATTAGTGCAAATATATATAAATGTCTCATTATACTGCTTATTATCTTTCAGAATCTCTAAAAATAAACCAACTTAAATTATTGAAAGAAGCTAGAAAACACTAAGAACAAGCATTATAATAGTGTCATACTGGAAATTAATTTGATAATCTAAAGAGTGTTAACAATTGGAAAATAAAATATATTTATCATACAAAATGAAAAGACATTGTAAGAGAAAATCTGAGGGTACGGCAAGATTATAGGTGAATTTGTTTTACTCCAAAGCAGTAAAACATTGTCTTAAGACTTCAGATACAGGGGAGCACCTCAAGATTAAGAGCAACCAGGGTAGCTCTCTCGCTGTGCACCTCTTGCCCAATTTTTTACCATTCACACTGGCTAGATATCTTTAAGAAAGCCAAATCAAAATATTGTCCACACTTACCACATAACCATCATCCAGTCTAAAGAGGTAACTGCTTCCAATTCCCATCTTCTCATAATTGAGTTCCCGTATATCAGATATCTAAGAGAAAATAGTGAGATGTCAGCATCCAAAAAAAGCATTTTTAAAAAATGAAAAAAGCACTTCAGTGTCACTATTATAAGTTAATATCTGCAGTGTCGTTAAATGTGGAAAAATCCATGCTTACACGGGGACGAATAAGTTCTCCAACATATTCAATCACAAAGTCCTCAGCCTCAATTGGCTCTAAGGCTACAAGACCCCAGTCATGTATCTTACTACGCTGAAAACGCAAACGCTTTTTCCTTGCCTGAAAAAGAACAAGTATGTAAGAGTAAAATAATTGATTTTAGAAAGGAAAAGACAACGATAGTGATTGCACTCTGTGTACCTTTATTTGAGTTGCTTTCAAAAGATCAGCACCCTCTGCAGCAGCAAGAAGGTTACGCATCTTAACCCTGTTAGTTCTGGCTGAAATTCCTTTAACATTTGACAATTGAGAACTGTTTCCATCTAGACTGACAGGATGAACATGGACATAGCGACTCCCCCTAACATGAGCCCTTTCAGCAGGAGTAGCACTGAGAGACCACTTGTGCCATTGCCATCCATTGATTGATGTGCGAGCACACCCATCTGATCGGGGGAATCGTTTTGTTTTCCTGGATTTACCACTGCTTTTATTTTGCACAATAACCTGTTTGTCTGTTGCTTGATCGGAAGAAGCAACCGGAACAATCTGAACTTTTCTCAACTGAATATCATCAGTCTGTTGTTTTCTTTTCAATTTTGCTAATTTGGTTGCTGTATGTAATAATAAACCACCCATAAATGGTTTACACAAAATAAATATTGGATATTCATGAGAATAGAACCCACAAACAAATACAACAATTGCATAAAAAAAAAAATATAGGGAACCAAGAAATGGTACTGACATTTTGGTATCACTTTTGATATTATTTGCACTTCTTGTTTTTTGAAATCCTTGTTCAAATTATTGGAAAGCTTATCAGCAGTACCGGTGTCTTCAGCAAGTACAGAGGCCTTTCGTTTAATTCCACTTGAATTATTTTCGCAGGCCTTTCGTTTAATTCCACTTGAATTATTTTCGCAAGCCTTCCGTTTAATTCCACTTGCATTTTTTTCGCAAACTGCAATATAAGTTAAATATTTGTAATTCTCAGCATGTTACACCACCACAATCTATTGAGAGGCACAACATATAATCCAGGAAAACTAAGATACCTTTTGCAACAGCTGCAACCTTCTCTGACTTTTTGTTAGAACTAACATGGGATGATGAGTAGTTTTTATGTGATTCACTGCAAGATTTTGCAAGTCGAACTTCTTTAGTGTTTAAAACAGACATTCCATGCTTAGCATTCTCTGGTACGTCACCTGAGGCATCTTGCTTCTTTGATTTATCAACACCACATTGTTTTTGTGGACCAGCACCCTTGGTGGTCATAAACTGAGATAAGGAGCCCGACTTTCTCTTGTCAAGCTTTTTCTTACGATAATATGTATATCTCCCTGTGGTCAAAGATGCCTCAGAAGAGTTCTCAACATGATTTTTTGATGTGGCAAGAAAATCATTGTGTTTCTTTTGGTCTATCTTGATCTTTGAAACCTGAAAAGAATTTGTGAAAGAATCAATTGAGCAGAACACCCTTCTGAAGATAGTTTTGCAATTGACAGCAGTAAGAAAACACAAGTTGCAGTAACCTGACAATCTCCTGATTTGGTTGATTTCTTCATAGAATACCAAGCTGTAAGATGTTTTTTTATTGTATCATCAATAAACAGTCTCACTTCTCTCAGCACATTTTCATGTATCTTTTGCCGACAAATTGTCAGGACACTATGCCACAAAATCTTTGGAACACAATCACGATATCTAAATGACAAGTGGCTAGAAGTTTGTACAGGAAGTAAGATTCTAGACTCAGGTGGTTTCAGCTCATCAACAATTTCATCATCTAAATGAACATCCAATTTCTGAAATGAACTCAAGAATACATCTGAAAAAGTAAACCTATTTCTAGTAACAATATTCTTTTTTAATGGCCCTGATAATGGAGAGAAAACCTCAAGACCATAAGAAAGTAATTCCTTTGAATTAGGAATAGTGTCTGGAGAACCATTTTGACTTGTATGGCAATCATCACCATGGAAACTAGAATCCTCCACAACCTGCTTAGAAAAAAATTGTTAGCCTCACACCAGTGTTAAAAGCGTGGAGAATAAGAACTTCTAAAATATGGTAGAAATTTAAAAAAAAAAAAATAGTCCATTTATTTTGGGTGGTTAGGGTGGGAGGGAGCATATGGGGTGGTAGTTTGACTTTTCATAGTTGACTCAAACTAAATATTATCCACCTCATTCAATTGCACATCCTTTGAGGGGTCATCCGCATTTCTCCCCACTTCCTCATCCAAGAGGTCCATGAAAAAACTTTCCAAACTTAACTTCACAGATCGGTGCAGATCATTCAATACATTCTCATGGATTAATCCTATGTCATCAAAATCTTTGTGTTCTATTAACACATCGCCTTTACATGATACTTCATCAACAGAAGGCAAACACTGTGAAGGTAAATTTGGATGCACATCTTGTATCTCCATCACCCGCTCAAAACCTGGGGGGCAATCGTTGTCACAACCAGATGAGTCGTCTTGATGCAACTGTAAACAACAGATTGGACATGAGATACAAAGGGATCACAATAAACTACAAAAACAACAGAATAAAGCACTCACAGCTTCAGTATGTGGCTCTGGATAATGGACAAGTGAAGACTCCAAAACATTACTTGATTTCACCACAGCTCGAAGATCAGACCAGCGCTTTCTATTTCTCCATGCAGATGAATTATCTGCTATGAGGTCATAAAAGACAGCATTCCACATGACTTGCATGCATGACTCAAAAAGTATTCTGCAGATAACTGTATATGCAGAACAAAAATTCTGAAAACTTCCAACAGATTTTGTGCCTGCTGAAGACATTAAAGTAATCTCATCCGGATGAGGTTTCTGGTGAACAGTATTAGAAGTGTCTGCTCTGTTCTCAGTGAGAATACATGTCTTATCCTTGCTTAAAGCCATACACTGACAAAAAAGTTGGCACAAAGATATAAGCAACAGCCAACAGCAAATACAAAACATGCAACACTCATTTATTGTGAAGTTATTACCATTATGCTATCCTCAGAGCAAGCATTGACATGCTGATTAAGAGTTTCATTCCTAGGATTTTTGTCTGCTTCATTTATTGCAACAGACTCTGAAATTATTTGGCTAATGATCTCCTCCAGTACAGTTCTACGAGCTGCTTTCATGATCCCTGAGTGAAGCTGGGAACATAATTCTTCAGAAACTTCAGTAAAAAAACCTTGTAAAGTTTCAACCTGATGCATACTGGCAGTCGACAGAGAGGCATTTCTAGGTACAGCTTCTGCCCAAGTACTTAACAAAACTTGCAGAGTACGAGGTTTAAATTTATTACCAGAATGATAAACCTGCAAAATGCATCATGAAGGAATGACACGCATAAGCTGGTGCATTCAAAATTATGAGATCAAAGAGAGTAATTGTGCCTGCAATGTAACACAAAAAAGAGAGCTTTTACAGAAGGAACAGGATTGATTTCAGAAACAAAATGTAACACATCTTTACTAAAATAATGTTTTCCCAAACGGCAAGATGTTGATATTATTAGCAATATATATTATGTTTGTGAAGTCAAAACAAAGAAAGAAGAGATAAATGCTTTTCTAAATGTTGATAGGATCACCATTATCCGTTATACATCTGTCTGTTCTCACTGGGATGAGAAACATAACCAAGTGAAGGAAAAGGCAGTATTTAAGAACCATTCAAAGAATAAAAGAGAACAACTTAAAAAATAATCTTAAACAACTAGATATTTTCCCATCATATTAAAAAGTAACAAATAAAACAGACTGATAAAACTCTCCACCCAGTGGTCCAAATCCAGTTTATTACAGGAGCCTGGTGGACTTGTAATATCTACAAAATTACTTGCACAGTTCTGCAAAATTTTCCCAAATTCTTTCATCTTTAAATATAAAGTCCAAAGGAATTAAAGCAAAAATAAATAAATGGAGTAGTCAGTTCCATATAAGTGTCAAAATCCCTACTTTGGACCTGTGTAATCTCAAGTATGAGTTGGCAAAAATATATAGCTTAATGAATGGTTATCATTCTCTTTATTTTGCATTTTGAATTTAAGAATTTCTAAAAGCATCTGCAACACTTCAAAATTACTATTGCCTTCTCTTCTTATCTATTTTCTTTTTTGCCACATGAAAGCTGGCTTTGAAATAGTTACCAGCTGTATACCTATTGACTATTAGGCATTGGCTGATGTCTTGGAAACAAACTCTCTGAAAATGCAGGTAATGTTGCATATATTTTTCTTCCCATAACTTCGGTCCGGCATAATGCACAGGACCTATAGTAACTCTAAATGTCAGATCATTCAAAAAGGGAACACCAAAAAAAATCGGTTGAAGGAACTTATCAATAAAACATAAATGGGACAAAAGGATAAACGCTCAACAGTATTCCCCACAAAAGAAAACATGACATAAGAGATTTTTGTAGTTCTTGGTAAAAGTAGTTAGGAGATCCCAAACAACCTTACAACCAGAAGATCAACTGACCCACAAATGAACAGATGTCATTCCAGCCAAATGAGCCAATTACTATCATTTATATTGTTGCAAAGTGAAAACCATATTTAACAAAGTATTTTGTTGAAATGTGATATGAATCAAATGAACTAATAATAATAACGATGATTCCTGAGTCACAAGGCTAACCATTATAGAATCCCTAATATACCCATAGTGAAACCATGTGTAGAGATCAAGAAGAGAATGTGGTCCATGTTTCCTCCCCTCGTCGTCCTCAAAGACCCAACAAGGTTCTCCACCTTCCTGTTTCAAACGGAAAGGTATCTGTATCAGCGCGTCAATATATGCAGTACTTGTAATGAGAAGGCGTATGCAATTTCATATTATCCATGAAAATAGGGGTGTATATTAAGTAATCTAACGGGCATTCATTTACATATGGCAGAATATACTGCCAGCGTGCATTAATATGAAAAGAGAAACTTTTCAATTTTATAAGTGAATAAGTGATTGAGGTTATGAGTAAGAATACCTGATGCAAATGTGCAGCAGTAAGGGTGACAGAGTCAGAGGTGAGCATATGCTGGTTTAAGCTGGGTGTTTCAGAATAAACTGACTTTGACTGAAAGTCATGTCCACTCAAAAGAGAATCCCTGCTATAACCTGTAGGGGTAGTAACCAGTCCTTTCAAGTCAGATGTTGATGTGTTTAAATATGCAAAGCCTGTGGCAACATGATCGGGAAACTGACTGAAGTACTTCAAGGGCACTGGATTAGCAAGTGTCCCATTGCAGATGGGATAAACAGGAAGTTCCTCAGGCAAGAAACCAGTGGACAAACCCTCGTACAATTGTTCCTGTATGTATGGACCACACATCTGACCTTGTTGATTAACATACATCCATCCAGTCACCTGTGCAGGCAAAGGATATGTTGGGCAGCCTTTGTCATTGTATGATGGACCACCAATTTCACAAGGCGGGGAAGCATTGTCACTGTCCCCAGCACACTGGCAGCTTATAACTACCTCAGATGGTGAACCAAGTAGCTCATTGGAGTTGTGGCAAGAGGACAAAGCATGAGCACTGTTCGAGGAACTAGTGACATTTAACATTAAAAAAAAAAAAAATAGAGCAGCAAAAATATCATGGGGTTAGGAAAACAGGAATTGCAAAAAGTATATTAAAAAGAAAAATACATAAATAATTATAAAGAATGGTGCAAATATGATCCATACCCAATTGTCAACTCCATGGTAGACTGAACATCATTATGGTCCTTGAAAGTTTGAGAAGTTAAATTATGGTAAACGTCAGCCAAAACCTTTTTTCTTTTCTTACAGACAAAAGGGAGGTTGGATTCTTGTTTGATACAAGGGGTTTCGGCCTCCTCACCACCACGCAGTGGGCAAATAATAGAAGAAACCATGGTTTGGGAGCTCCTCCTGAAAGGAACCCTTTGCATTGTCAATAAAATGCAAAGAATTTGCCATTTGCAATTCTCTTACATACATAAAGCTCGACACAAAGATAAATGGAAAGTCTATTTTGTGAAGTTCAGGGTGCGGCATCACATATCATCTGGCGGTAATTAGTTTTGTAATTAGTGCACACATAAGCAACACTTTAGTTTATCCTAAAAGCCCATCAAAATCATAAATGCAACGCCTCACATTTTTATCTAGATGTAATTGGTGTACACACAGCAATTACCATCTATTATTATTAGAAAATGCTAAATAAAGAGCTGTAATTCTAAAAAACTGAAAATGGAGTAAATTATAATCAACCATTGATTCAACTTCAAAAACTGGAAACTAGAAGTATAATAAATAAATCTTTTTTTCTCAAAATGATTAAATACTCTATTACTTTCAAAATTAAAAGATACACATAGAGCTCAGTACAAATACACAACCCAATACAATAGATATAAAATATCACTGCACTAAACAAAATAACCTGATAATTCCTTTTACAAAAAGCAATCCCAAAAAAAAGATTTTAAAAAATCTGGCCCAAACACTCAACAGAACCTTAGCCCTCGTTGCATTACATTCTATGCCCTCAACTGCCACCACCTTCCCCCTTTCTCTGTTGCTTCCTCTGTCATCAATCACCATGCCACTTCACCGCCTCACAACATCATGAAAGTTAGAGAGAGATTTCTCTCAAACTTCTACAATAAATAAATTATAGAACTCCATTTTTTTTTTAAAATCACAATTAATTCCGTATAGTAATTAAATTTTCATGAAAAGACTAATCAATTTCTCATTCAGAATGTAAAATGATTTCTAAAATCACTTATATAGACCATGTAATTGAACTTCAACACTAACTCAATACATGGCACCAAGTATTGAGAGATTATCCTCTGAAAGTCGTTATAATTTGTAGCATAACCTGTATTCTAACAGGGATGCCTGGAAATTGATGTGCGAGCCGCACATTGATTGTCAACAACTCGAATCTCCAGAGTTTTCTCTGTATATTCAGCTAATCTACAACCACCCTCAGATAATTTCCAATATCCAAAAACAATTTCCAGCGGAACTGTTGAATATAACGAAAGATAAAAATCAACCTATTCTAGAAATTAAGACGCTCCAAAATCATCTCCGCAAATCTGTCGACTTTGCAAACAAACAAAAATGCATGTACAAATCCATATGCTTATTTAATATAGACATTTGATACCTTAATACAGAGACAGTTTCAGATTTTCTTCTCCACAAGCTTTGTAATTGAGGTCATAGCAACCTGAGAGGTCGATAGAAGTTAACGACAGAAGGAACTAGGGCTTCTCTCTTCTGACGGAATATTTCCTTTTCCTTTTCCTTTTCTTTTTCTTTTTCTCTGCAGCTGAAGCAAAAGGGGTGCAAAAGTATTAATCCATACTAAACTCGGTATATAGTAGTTCCTAGAATTGTAATTTCAGGAAACGTACTCAAGTTTAAAGAAGTCTACATCTACAGTTTTTTTTTAAATGTCAAAAAAAAAAAAAAAATTATACTCCGTATTAAGCTTTAGGGTCTTTTAGTATGGTTTCAAAGAATTTTAATTTACCGGGTGTAATTAATTATGATTTTTATATACTTTTCAAATGATAAATTTTAGGCAGAAGTATTAAATAGGTCTATCTATCACGCGAAGTGTCCAATTCCCACCATGAACGAAATTAAGTATCAAATAAACCCATCAACCAGCTAAATGTGTTAGATTGACTTTTTTTGCAGGTTGCATATTCAATTATTAAAAAATATATTTAAAAATAAAAATAAAAAAATTTTAGCCATCGGCTGTCCGCGCTGGACAGCCGAGGTCTGCGTATTTCACAGACAGTCGTGACTGTCCGGCGAGGACAGCCACAGCTGTCAAACATGAGGTCTAGATTTGAACCTCAAACGGCCTGAAATGATGGCGGCGGCCATGGCCGAATAATATGAGACAAAGACATCTTGTGAAAGCAGCTGTATGTAGACACCGGATGAAGTGTTAGTTGTGATTGTGAGCTATGAAATTATTGGTATTTTTTCCCCAAATTGCTTGAAGCGTGAAAATCTTTAATAAAAATTAGTATTAATCTTTAATTTTGAAATACAAGCAAATAGTGCTCCTTATTTTTTTTTAATCAAATAGGGGGGGACCCCGAGGGGACTATTGTCTCCTCATAATTATACGACGGTGACTAAGAGCGTCCAAGTAGTCGTAATGGTAACGATGGTTACTTTTAAAGCCTCCAAGGAAAGACACAAAAGAAGATGCAACACAAGCCACTTTCACCAATACATAGTTACATACCCTTTAGTCATACAGAATTCCCAGTTTAAGGAAACTTCTATGTGTCCTATGGAGTCCAATGAGAGGGTAAGTAGCATGGGCAAAAAGGTGGCTGGCAATAAGCATTTGAATGCATAGCCAGAGCAGGAGGACGTTGTATTTACAGGGCGTTTGGTTTGAAGGAAGGAATTAGGGGGGAAAGGAATTGTAATTTGTAATTCGGTGAGAAAAGGATAAGGTGGGAATTCAAATTACAGTGTTTGGTATGCAGGTAGGAATAAAGTAGGAATTCAAATTACAGTGTTTCGTATGCAAGAATAAGGCATGGAATTGAAAGGGAATAAGTGATACAATGACTGAAATGGCCTTATGTAATAATAATAATAATAATAATAATAATAATAATAATAATAATAATAATAATAATAATAATAATAATAATAATAATAATAATACTTAAATGTGTATAAAGGTAGCAGGAAGAAAGAATAAGGAAAACAAAAAGGAAAGAAAAAATAATGGGGAAGAAACAAGGACAGGCCGAAAGAATAATGAAGGGGGAAAAAAAGGAAAGAAGGAAGAATGGGGAAGAAACAAGAAACGAAGAATGAAAGAAAACTAATAAGACAAAATAATATTAGAGGGTAAAATGGTTTTCGCACTACCTTTTTTTCCCTCATCAAAACACCGAATCGTAATTCATGGAGAAAGGGAGGGGGGGGGGGGACTGGGGGAGTGTCTGAATTAGAATTCAACATTTGGAGGGAATTGCAATTCCCTCCAACCAAACGGCGTAATTGTGGTCTCCGCGAAATTGCAATTCAACTACCCTAAACTACCTCCAACCAAACAGCCCGTTAATGATCATTTAATACATGGGGAGATGACTTTATCCAATGGACAATATATTATCAACGCTTACTCTCTTTTAATTTGGTACAGTCTGGTACACAACCCAGGTACAAGGGGCTGTCTCTTCAACATACTTGCGCACAGTGGAGGGGGAAGTGGAAACTTGGAAGTTAGTGACAAAGGAGACAACATGGACCAAGTTCAGAAAGATGATGCTTTAAGTTTTATGGACTATGGCCCTCAAGTGGACTCACATATGTTTATTGGGCTTGTTGAGCAAGATCATAAAAGGAAAAGAGCTGAAGGTTTTTCACGTGGAGAATCAAAGGTTTTACGTATAGAGGAGACATCTTGCTTTGACCTCAGGCAAAAAAACTTATTATAGGCGGGTTATGTCGAGTAGTCCCGCCTAAGTCAATGAGTCTCTTATCATATAATTGTTGTGGGCTATGAAACCCTACGACAATATAAAATTTCGAATAGTAATTCGAATGGTTACCTTTCGAATAGCTTGAAAATGAAGACCTCGAAGAGTTGAAGACTTGAAGAGTCCGATAAGAAGATTCAAAGAGTATAATTGCAATAGCGAAAGGTTGCAATGGTCGAATGGTGGAAGGGTCTACCTTTTGAAGTAAAATGTGGAACGAAGGGTAAGGTCAACCATTCGTATCCGAGAGGTTGTAGAGTGTCAAGGTTTGAAATGTTAACTCGAATAGTAACATGTTAGTGTTTTTATGTTCAAAAACCCCATATTATAATTGGCAATATTATTATGGCATACTAAGATAGGTTTAGAGTCTGTCCGGTTGGATCTACAGTTTACTGATCAAGCAGAAGCAACGACAGAAGAACTGACACTGAAGATCTGATTTAGTGAAGCTGTTTCCTTAAGAGTCTTACGCGGTATTATCAGCTCAGTATGGAAAGACGATCAGCGTATCTTCAAAGAAGGTAATGGACCTAATCTGCTGAGATTACATTCCTCTTTTATAGTCCTACCTTCTACAATCAAAGATCTTTTATGGAGAGTGTTTATAGAAGGATCTATAAGTACCAGTTCTTTAAGGGAACTAGGGTTACGCCAAAATAAGAAGAAGAAACACTCCATATCAGCTTGATGAGTCTAGATCTTTGATTGTTATACACCTTCTCAATACAACTTGTTCATGGTGATTAAGATAATGAACTTGAGAAGAGTTACTGCTGCTTAAACGAAAGGACACTAAGATCACACTGTTGTGGGAACAACATTATAGAGTGTCACTGAAGTGGACTGCATCAGAGCTGGCTCTCCAAGTGAAGGGATTTCATTGGACTTCTGTATGCATGGCTCTCCATCTTCAACAATCCACTAAACCTGTGTAGAATGGGTATGTACCTTGTGTGGGGCACTTGGGTAAGATTATTGTATATCTACCTTTGTACATTGGATTATGACTTAGTGGATTGGACGCCTATGTGATCGTCCCCCAGACGTAGATACACACTGTATCGAACTGGGTAAACATTGTGAGTGTTCGTTCTGTGTGTTTGTTTATTTTTTCTCTGATGTTCGCTCCATGATCTATCATTACTAAGTCGGTGCTTAACTGAATCTATCAGTATTCTAAGTCAGCAAATTATTTCGGATAATTTCCATTCGAAAAAAACTACTCAAGACATTATATGAGCCAACAGTTCGGAACCTTAAAACACTAATGCTTTTATGGTAGAATGTGACCAAGGCAATGTGAGTTCTAGGTTCACATCCCAAGAAAGATTTTTTTCTTAAAAGCCCAAACATTTTGTGTAAAACAAAAAAAGATGTTCAGCAAAAAATAAGTCTTTAACTGCTGGAAAGTCTGACAATACTACCTAACATCTGGATTACCCGCAGGTCTTTACACACTTACTAATAGACGTTTGAAATGAGTTTCTCTCCAACGAACACATTTCCAAAACGCCTGAGAAAGTGTTGGTTCAGTAAAAAATTTATAAGTATTCAAAGCGTGAAAATGTGAACAATCAAACATGGCCAGTGAGAGAGAAAAGCTTAAAGTTCATATCCAGATTCAAGAGACTTGTGCTGTGAAGAAAGCTCACATTCATATTCAACCAAGCCAAGCTCTTAGTTGGAGATTGAAGAATCTTTTTCTTCAACACATTTGTATCTCTACTCGGTAGAAGTAGAAAAAAGCATAGTAAATTCAGTTGAGTTGAAAAACTTGTGGAGTTCAAAGCTGGTTTTGTGTTCAAAGCTTGAACGTCCTTATTGTACTAAAGGACTTGTGCAATCATCCCTAATCATTTCAAGGAGAATAATATAGTATGTTGAGTTGGTCGGACCACTATTAAAAAATCTATCTCTCGCTCTCTTCACATTATTGCTTGTAAATATTACATATCATTCACGCAAATTTAACTTTTCAAGAATAAATACATGTTCAACCAGTGCATGAAGACCACAACTACACTGCTTACCAACGAGAAATGGTGTTGGAAAAGCAGCGTGTCCGCGAGGGCAAAAGAGTTTGATTGCTTTGTCCTCTTTTGCTCCTCCTCATTCTCCTTCCTTCCATATGTCGATCTTCACACTACTACAGAAAACGGATTTAACGTCTACATTATAACGTCGGTTTTTTGAAAATCCGACGTTAAATATTTAAAATTATTTTTTATTTTTTAAAAAAATACATATGACGTCGGTTATTTGGTATGACCGATGCCGTATATTAAATAAAAAATAAATAAAAAATAAATACGAGATACGACGTCGGCGTTATACGTTGCCGACGCCGTATCTCAAATAATATATATATATATATATATATATATATATATATATATATATATATATATGGTATACGGCGTCGGCGACGTATATCCCGACGCCGTATACTTGAATTAAAAAAAAAAAAAAATAGTAGATACGGCGTCGGAGAATTAATCTCCGACGCCGTATCTCTAATAATTAAAAAAAAAATGGTATACGGCGTCGGCGACGTATAACGCCGACGCCGTATACTCAAATTAAAAAAATAATAATAATAATAAATAGGAGATACGGCGTCGGAGTTAAATCTCCGACGCCGTATCGTATAATTAAAAAAAATTAAAATGGTATACGGCGTCGGCGACGTATATCGCCGACGCCGTATACTCGAATTTTTTTAAAAAAAATAAAAAATAAATAGTAGATACGGCGTCGGAGAATTAATCTCCGATGCCGTATCTACTATAATTAAAAAAAAATATATTTAAAT